TTTTCCGAGTAACACAGATATTTGAGGCTCTGTGCACATCAATGCTTGCCCTGGTTTCCATCCTCCTACCTTTATTCACCAAAAAAGTGTACGTTTTTTCCTAAGTTTAGACTGCTAGTACTAGGATGCTGCTGCTGCTAGAAGTAATATTTCAATGCTGGGAGTGCTGTTTCTGGTAATCATACTTACTAAGACCAGTAAATAGTATACAATGATACAGCCTGTACTTGCACGTTGGAAATGGGAGGCTGCTATGCAGTCACAAACTATATCATGTAAACCGTAAAATGAAGGGATAAAGCAACGTTTATTTAATAATAGCTCAAGTTCTACACTGCCTGTGGTTCGCAACATAGAGCTATTTGCCGCTTTTTCAGGCTGATTTTAACTGTCTACCTTACCTAGTTCTATAGCTTAGAATTTACAGAAAAACTCTCGCCTAATAGGAAGCTACTTTCTCCAGACATGGAGGCTTAGTAATTTCTATAATTGTGCCAGTAGCTGAGTAATAAGCAAAACAGATGGAATTTGAGCTTGCCAAATGTTTTTGCCTTCACGTGGGATTGTGTAAGACACTCGGATTTTCCTGCAAGCATGTGGCCCTTTAACGGGATTACAGATCAGCAGGTACAGTCAGATCACGCCGGGCCATACGACCGAACGCCGACATACAGAGCACTATGCAGGCACCTCCAGATTTCAATCGTTGATTCTTGCTTGGTTTTTACGCCCTATAAATGTAGCTTTGTTCTGCTGTTGTTACTAACTCTGATGATGGATTCCTGCCCTGGATCGAAAGCGCAAAATTTATAACCAGAATGTGCCGGTGATTTGCTTCTTGTTCTTAAAAAGACCATAAATACATCAATTCGTATCCATGACTTATAACAATTATTTGTGAGACAGCTTTTGAAGAAATGTGACCGTATGTAGCTGTATTCCAGTATCATTCCTGCACAAGTAGCACAGTATATTTGGAATATAAATACTATTTTTATGTCGGTCGAGCGGTCGACTGTTTATATTTATATCTAAATTACCTTAAATGTTGAACGGATCTCAACTGTTTTTTAAGTTTTTTTTTATTTTATTCCGTCAGCATATGTAAGGAACGTCTCTACGACCACTGCCATAACCGTTGGAGTGATATTTATAATAATTGCAATCGTCTTGGCGGTCTGCTTCGTAACAAGGAACGTGCGAAGAAGGCGCGCAAAACACCTACCTTACCGGTGCGTATACATTTTAGATTCTTCTTGTCACAATTCATGTTAATTGTACTTTGAGCACATATACAGTTCGGACTAGAATCCGTGTAACATGCCGACACATGCGAAAGATTGAGATTCCCTCGCTAATCGGCACTGACTCAGGTTGTGATGCTGATTATCTTGTAGTCTATTTTGAAGTCAATTCAGTCATGGTAGGATGCCGACTTTTTAACGAGCTTCGTTCTGACCACTAATAAAACGCATGTACTGTAAAAAGTGGCTACTTAGGTAGTATGAATTTTTATCATTGATTGTGAATACCTGTATAAATTCAGATATCTTTTATCGAAAAAATTAACGGAAAATTATTCTTGTACTCATTTTTAAGGAAATTACGCCTTTCTTATATGTTAACCTACAAGAAAGTGTATCTTTTGGTTTTAAAAAGCTTTCTAATTATGAGTTTTTTTACGGTTGTGAGATGTTCATTTATAATACATCATATCCCTGTATTATTAGCAGCCAAAGCTCTACCAAGCGAGCTACGAAGGCACGCCGACGGCCTTGAATTTATTCACATGTGGCTTGATTCACCCACCTAGCATACTGCTCATAGGAAATCCATCATTACGGGTACAGTATGCCCAGGCAGGATTTCGTAAGCAATCATCTAGAATCCACCAAAATGACTACTTATCTCACTTAATTATTAGGAAGGTTTGGTAGATTTTAATAAATGCAAGACCGTCGGCGTGCCTTCGTAGCTCAAGTGGTAGAGCGTTGGCTGCGCAAAAACCTTCCCTGCTGATGTGGGTTCGAATCCCACCGCGGCCACGAAATTTTCACAATTGAGTCAACTGAATTCTTATATTACTGTAGCTTCCTTATTTCAGGAAATGTTACCCGGAATTCTGAAGTGCGTTTTCGATTCAAACATATTAATTACGTATGGTTTTAAAAATGACGATCATACAGCCTAATCCCAATATATTTTGGTCACATCAGGATGCCGGCCTTTTAACGAGCTTCTTTCTGACCGCAAAGTAAAAGTATGTACTATATAAAGTAGCTACTTAAGCAGTATGCCTTTTTGTCATTGATTTTGACTGTCTTTATAGACTCAAATATATTCTTTGCAAAATGTGCAAAAAAAATTATTTATTGTACTCGTTTGGTAGAAAATTACGCCTTCCTTAAATTTTATACGTAAAGAAAGTGCGTATTTCGGTTTTAAAAAAATTCTAATTATGAGCCTTTTTACAATTTTCACGTGTTCATTCATAGAACATCGTATCCGTCAATTTGTTAATGCTGCCTTTACTCAGTAAAGTATTCTCCATATCTATTGCAATATTTTATAAGAACTACGTGAGATATTCCTCAAACTGTAGGCAAAAACGTACTTTTCCTTAAACAGGATGTACACAG